GTTTTGTCCCGGCAACAAACAGCTAATGTGATAACGGCTTTACGGATCCGAACCACGACGTCATTCAGCCTGTTTAAGACTGTGTACGGACCATCCCAAGATGATTGTAATTTCGGACAGAGTCCTTTCCGTCGAGTCGGATTCCACAACCAAACCTTGTCTTTTTCGTAGAATTGATGTCCACTAGCTCTTGTGTCGTAGCGGGTCTTCATCTTCTCCGTCGCCAAGTTGACTCGCTCTCGTGCAAAGTTGTGCATCACTTCAAACCGGGCCTGGAGATCTTGAATATATTTCTCAGGCGATGAAGGAGCAACAAGAACAAGAGATCACAAGGCAGACGAAGGTCACGACCGAAGAGCACCTGTGATGGTGAATAGCCGGTAGTCTCGTGGACAGCACTGCGGTAAGCCAGTAAAAACAGTGGTAATTTCTTGTCCCAATCCTGTTGGTTTCTAGAAACCACTAATGAGAGGTTATTAAGGATGGTTCGATTGAACCTCTCTACCATGCCGTCCGACTGGGGATGTAATGGCGTCGTTTGGGTTTTGTCAATGCCGAGTAGCTTGCATAGTTCTTTGATTACTGCCGAGGTAAAATTCCTTCCCTGATCTGAAGGTAACTGAAGAGGCACTCCGAACCTGGAAATCCAGTGCTGTATCATCACCTCAGCTACTGTGAATGCCTCTTGATCAGGAATAGGATACGCTTCAAGCCACTTGGTGAAGTAATCAATGACAACGAGTATGTATTTGTTGCCATCAGCAGTTTGTGGCAGAGGTCCCAAGATATCAAAGGCGATACGTCCAAAAGGCGCGCCTACGTTGTAACGTTGCAGCTTGCCTCGACTGCGTCTCTTTGGTTCTTTCCGACCTCACAGGCATCGCAAGATCGACACCACTTTTGCACGTCATCCTTTGCATTATTCCACTAAAAGCGCTCACGAACTCTCTGCAAGGTCTTCATTATTCCAAAGAGACCTCCTGTAGAGCTATTATGTAGTTCTTTAAGCACATCAGGAATCCGGGATCTTGGAAGTATCAGTTGCCATCGGAACGTCTTCCCATCATTCGATTCGAAATTCCGGTATAAGACACCGTTTCGAATGTGAAGTGAATCCCAGAGTGCCCACTATTGTTTTGTTGTAGAATTATAGATAGAAATGTCCTCCCATGTAGGTTTTCTGTTCGATGATTCTATTAAATCAATTATGGGTTTAATGTCGCGGTCTTCCAGCTGGTCTTTCCTGACTTCATCATCACTCCACGGGTCTCGATCAGCCGATGTTGATGTTGCAATTTGTCTTGCGACTGGACTCAAGCAGCTCGTATTTCGCTTCCACCCTTGAACAATATCGGCAGCTTTCTGGGCAAGGTCTTTTAGACAGGGCGTCGGCGTTTCCGTGTGATGATCCCTTACGATGACGGATAGTAATGTCATATTCTTGGATTCTCTTAAGATGACGGACTTTTCTTCCATCGCAGGACCCCTTCACAAGCTGACAGAGAGCAAGCAATTATTTCCTAGCCTATTTAAGTTTTAGTTTTAGAAGCCTATTTAGTGCTTGAACATACTATTTAGTGCCTTCTAGTAGCAGCCACAGAGATCCTGTACAAAGAGAGCTATGCATTTCGCAGGTGGTGGAGGTTGTATCTTGGGCCTGTATTACAAAGGATGATCACAGAATTTTCAAATAGAAAGGTTTCGCTGAATAATGACTGGATAAAAGATAAGTTATTATGATGGAATTAGCCTTTGGGTATCGGAAATAGACATGAAGTTGAAGAATGAAAGCTTGCTTTAAATTACAGAGATTTCTAATACATTAATTTAATATATTTAAAAAAATATTTTAATAATATAATATATTTTTTATTATCCAAAAATATTTTTGAATTAACAGAAAGGTACGGCAAGTTTCAGTGATCAATTTGTCAGAAAGGCTTCTTCTGGATACTTAATAATAATAAAGGAAATAAGCTTATTTTACACATGCTTTATGGCATAAGAAAAGCAACTTCTGAAGTATATAAAAACTAAAAAGATGTACATATACCATAGAAATGATTTTTAACTCTAAACAAAATTACTGGTTATCATTTCGGAAACAAAATAATACTTGCCCATAATAAGACCAACTTGTGAAAGATTTTTTTTGCCAAACTGCAAATCATTGTGTAAGGAGGAAAATTTCCAAACGCCATTTTGAAATTTTTAGTAATATGACTAATAATCATAAGACACTACTTTTTGATTAGTAGCATGGGTTGTTTGAACTAACTAAGAAAAAAACTTTTAAATTGCATCAGTATTATAACGAGCTAATTTACATTTTAAATCACAAAATACAGTGAAACTGTCTGTAAGACAGCCAGACACAGCTGCTATAAAAAATTTTCTATGAATGTGGTTGTTTTAGAGGGATGATAATTGATGCCAATGTTATTTATGTTGTTAAATTACCACTTTTGTCGTCCTGGTTCTGTTCTCTGTCTATACATTTTGAATCTTAAATAATGCATTCAGCATGGCATGCACACTGCGTGTAAGGAAAAAGAAGCAACAGAAGAAACTGGAGAGTTTGGTTAAATAATAAAAACCAAATCCTTAATACCACTATTGACAGAGAGAGACCAAAATGCAAATAAGAAGCAAATTTCCTTAAAGTTAACAATGAAGAGGGATTAAAATTAGGATCAATGGTTAAAACTATGGGATTTTTATTGATATAAAGCATCAAATGCCAAGTGAAGTGGTGTCTCCCACACCCCGGTATAATTTTTCGATGTGGAGAAATGGAAAACATTTTTTTTTAACTGGGAATCATAGGCAATGCAGAATTTATGAATTTCTTTTCTTTGAACATAATTTTGTGTTGTTGAGTAGAAAATTTAGGACACGCATCTCTGCTGTTTGGAGGAAACATAAAAAAAGAACTCTGGGAACATAATTAAAAAAAATACGGGTCACTAAAATAAATAAAAATTCTAGATTCTTTTCTTGTGTTCTAACATATGTAATTATTACTGAAGTAGATTCTAATATTTATTTTATAATCATGCATTATGACTACTTAGGCCACAATACAGACATATATAAATTTTCACTATTTTTTACTGTTATTACATGCACAATTGCCGTTTTTTTATTAACAAGAGAACTGAACAAAGCATATCAATACTTTTGTATCAGCAATATGAGTAAGTTTCTGTTTATTAAGCCTTTTAAAGTTGTAAAGTTGCGCGCTTCCAACCTGCACGCAACAAAGTGGTGACTGCTGAGAGCTGGAAATAGACCAAAGTCTTGAGAAGGGTTTAAATCCCTTTTATTCAACTTTAGAACTTACAAATGCGTGCTCTTGACGCTCACAAACTACGCCGACCCGGCGGTAAAAATAAAAATAAGAAACTAAAAAGAGATAATAAACAAGTGACTAACTACGAGGCTCTCTAAACGTAACTAACCTCACCGCGTTCTAAAATACCGCTGATAATTCAGCAAACTCTGAATATTACGTTGAAAGATTAACAATTTGCCGAGGCAAGCACACAGGCCGAAACGCGTGGTTCTTCAATTTCTAACTTGCCACCTCCACACTCGTGAAGCAAGAAAGCACACCTTCGAACTCGTTTCCTTTCTATTTAACTCAGAATACTTCCGCTGATAATTTGAATCCTTGCGCGTTCTACTAAAATTTACATACTCTGGCATTGGCAATTCCAGGGGAAAGTAAGGCTTGACAGGAAAGGTTTAAACTTAAAATAAATGTTAGTTAAAATAAATATAAACCCTACAAAGTTCTCACGATGAATTAATTCGAATAATGGAAATAATTGACTGTAGCATAGAGATTTATTCGTATTGCGTCCAGTCTCGTATACAGCAAGAAAAAAAAAACTAAATATGAAGAGAGGCCCTTATCAATTCCGCAAGATTTTCCATCACTTACCATAATTTCGCATAAAACGTAAACAAAGTACCGAGACTTCGTAATCGATTACAAAGTGCAAATCATATCAGCTATTCGTCATCGATGGGGAAAGGAAAGTCTGGGCCATCCGAAAAAGCTGCGACCGCGAAATCTCCAGGTTCGTAGGCCTACCTCATCGTGGTATCTGTGTCCCAGGGAGTGGTGATCTTAAGTAGCCAGTTTAGTGGTGTGTATTAAGGGAGATTCATTAAAAGTCCATCGTCTCTGGAAGTGTATGCCCCAAGGCGCGGCAAGTAAGAAATTCTAAATCTCTCAAAGGTGACTTTTGAGACTGGTAGTTCCATCTCCCTGAGGTTCCTCTTGATGCGGAGATTCTCAGTTGGGAGCCAGTCCGTGTAGTACCTGATTGTGACAGATCACGTCAACAGATATTATTATTATTAATATGCATTATTTTACATAATACAGCATAATTTCTAAAGTACGCATATACGTAATGCAGTTATGCTCAGAATATACAATGCAAGTATTATGTTCCTCTAATTATTTTATAGTGCACTAATTTCAATACATGTTTTATATGTTATGTAAGCTCTTGCTTCCTTATGCGGGTTATTTTGCATTACTCAAAATTACTTACTAATTTATGCATTTTTATTCAGTGGGGGGTTAATTTGGATTGGATTGGATCATTTAATTATGGCAAAGCACACGAGGGCTATCTGCCTAAAGGGAGGGATGCCTTCGGGGGAGGACTTCCTAAGGGAAACTGGCTTGTATACACGTTACAAATGGGGAAAACCACGAAAACGCCCATGCAGCCAGCCCGTTCGCGGGATTCGAACCTCGGACCGAACTACCAGTGTGTTCAGAGTCTTTACCGCTCGGCCGCTGGTGAGCCTCAGTGGGGGTTAAATACCAAACATTATCCATTAAAGCCTAATTTTACATTATATATTATTATACATTATTTATTATATTATTCATATTACATTACATACAGTACATTACATTACACATAAACATTATACTTTATACTTGTTTAACATAATTCATTCTACATTATACTTACCTATCATTATAAATTACACAATACTTGACATCGTATAAAATCATTTCTAGACTACACTATACACATTTTCTATTATATATAATGCACACAATGCTAGAATCTATTAACGATGCTCCAATTGTAGGTGCATCGACGTCTGCAGCACCACGGATTGTCAAGGCGGCTTCCCATGAATTGGCATGAATTGAGGTGATGATGAGTATATAGTCCTGGGGACTTAGAATTTAGTAACCCTACGGGGTACGTCTTAGTGGTGAAATCTCTCCACTCTAGTATTGAAGTGGAAAATTTCTAGAGAGGATGCTTGGTTCTGGTCCGGTGGCTCCATCTTTTGGCAAAGCTGCAAGTAAGTAGCTGAGAGGAACGTTGGTTGAGTGTAGCAATTTTTGAAGCAATTATTTGATAAGCAATTATCGAAGAGGCATATTTTGGATGAGGATGAAAGTTGATGGTACATTATACTGGAAAACACAGTGATAAAAACATTTGTAAAATGCTAAAAGTAGTAAAATAAAAATATATACAAGTCTCTAATTATTTGAATTCGTGAGAGGACGAAAGCCAATCAGAAGTTTATTCGTTGGTCACATGATCACTTTTGGAATTGGACTTAGACGATTTCATAAAATACAATTTGTAGGATAAATATAAAAAACTTGATTAAATACGTGATTAAATAGATGAGTATTTTTTTTTTTTTTTTTTTTTTTTTTTTGAAGAAAAGGAAAAATTTGGTGCATAACAAGTCCATATGCCTGCTTGATCAGGCGGAAAGTCTATTCCTGCTTGCCCAGGATTAATGACTATATACACAATATACATGATGAATTATGAAGTTAGATGAAGTTCGATGAAGTTAGATGAAGTTAATTCCCTTGACCAAAGAATCTCTAAAGAATCTCAGATTCTTTGCCTTGACACTGCAGTAGAGACAAGCGCACCTACAGTCAAAGAATCTGCCTACAGTGGTGCGACGAACGACAATCCTGGACACAGGAGTGACAGCATCTTGTCTTTTCAGGCGAATGCTGGTTCTGCTTACAGCATCTTATTCCAGCTTGCATTTTTATTCTGTATCTCATTAAGTTCCTATGAAAACAGAGTCGGAAAAACTTACTACAGGAGCATTGACTAAATTTTAAAAGATCAATAATGTTTTTACTTTAATTTGTACTTATAACAACGCCAAAAAAAGTTTTATACGTAGATTTAATATTTTAATCGATAGCAAAACAAGCTGAAGTGCATTTCAAACAAGACCTGTTACAATTTAAACGAAGCTATTAAGATTACGATTGGCCCACCAGCGGCCGAGCGGTAAAGTCGCTGAACACTGATAGTTCGGTTCGAGGTTCGAATCCCGCGAACGGGCTGGCTGCATGGGCGTTTTTTGTGGTTTTCCCCATGTGTAACGTGTATACGAGCCAGTTTCCCTTAAAAAGTCCTCCACGAAGGCATTCCCTTTCCTTAGGCAGATAGCCCTAGTGTGCTTTGCCATACTTAAATACACACAAAAAAAATAAGATTACGATTGTCTTTCATTCGCTTTCTCTAGAATTAAAATAAATGCTGTGCTGCAGTGCATACACGCAGAGGAAAATGCGATTTTTTTTCCTATTATATTATCCATTAGTTTTTTTTAATATTGGGAGGGAGAGATAAAAATAAATAATCATAAATTTTTAACGTTATTTTCAAAAATAATTACAACATTCCTGAATGGAAAAACTGCATTAGGTTTATGCTCAGTTTACTCCTTAAACAAGCTAATTTATTTCAATAACGGAGGTTATAAACCTATATTCTTTAATTAAAAAAGCACTTAGCAATTTTCCGCATATTCTTAATATCTAAAATATTGTAGAAATAAGCTCCTGTACCAATTACTATTTGTTTACGAGTATAAGAGAATTTTCAGCTAATCTTTTGATACTGAAATCTGGGGATATGAATTAAAAATGACTTAAAATAATTAGGTCACAGGGTTGAATAATTTAAATTAATTAAAAAGTTTTTTATTTTATTTATTTATTTTTTTAATCATTTTTCTCAGTGTGAGTATCCGACTTGGAATTTTTTACCAACTTTCAGAAATCTCTGCTACAAGCAAGTCCGGATGAGCAACATCACCCTCCCTTTAATCGTTTACACCGCCGGTCTCTCGCCTCGTTGATTTTTTGACAACCTTCATCCCTTATTCATTAAGCGACATCACTCATTTTCAGTTTCATACCCTACCCACGTTGATCTGATATATTTTTAGGCATATTTTGAATGGATAAGGACTTGGCACTCGTCTTCAACTAACCTGATAGGTCTAACTAAGTTTAGATTGGCAGTTTATCCGAACTTTTCCGATATATATATCTGGATTCTCTAGGTTGGTTTTTAACGTGGATTTTCAATTTTGGCTGAGTTTTCTCTAAAAAATCTTATCTATCAGCATATACACGGATCTACTTACATTCAGAAATACAGGATAGCTATTTCATTCAGCAAAAGGTTAATGATAAAAAATTGTTGGATAAACACAGTTTCTGAAGTTTGTCTGAAATTTCTTCATTCCTTTCCTTTGGCTCAATGAATTTCAAACGAAATGAGAGACACATTTTCTTTTTGTTCGATGTTCTTATCATAAGAGCTGGATTAAAATAATATGGGATTTACACGCAACGTGTTTCTGAGGAAACTAAAGTAAACAATAATACAGGTCTTTTGGCATACTTTTAGAATGATTTTGAGGGCCCAGATCGAAATTTTAGACGTCTAAATGGTAATTCGGGCTTACTTTAATCTATAGATATGAAGTTAAGACATAATTTTTGTGACATGAATCTGGAAATTCTTTCGATTAATTCTTCATTTAGTATAATTGCCTGTGTCGGTTGAAGATTTCAGAACCGCAGGTAGAAGGCATCACTTAAATATGGTTATTAGCAGGACAATGCCTTATTTAAATTAATAGTTGAAGCATCACACTTAGACCACAACAGCAAAGTCAGAAAAATTTTAAAATCAGCATATATTTAAAATTCCCGATACAGTGTATTAGCATATATTTCATTAGCATTTTCTGTTTCTTCTGTCTTTTCTTAGTTTATGATATCAAAAAAAAAAAAAAAAGTAAGATGACTTCTACAATTTTTTTTTATCTTTTTATTGTTAACTTCTTTGGTTTTTAACTTTATTTATTAGATATAACGTTATTCGCAACTACGCCACATAAAATCCAAGAGCAAAATCACAAAATATTAAAAACATTGGGCCTTTAGAATTCTCGATAGAGCTATACATTGCCGCACATTTACCATACACAGCCATACATAAGCGCAATCTTCCTTTTTCTTTTATATTCGCTACATGTGCCGGCAACTTTACGATGAGTAATTGTTTTGAAGGTAAACCGTTGGGAAGACATTGAAATTCTCTATTTTTAGGATGCAGAGTAAAAACTTACGATTTTACTCTGCATCCTAAAAATAGAGAATTACGATTATTGTATTATGACAATAAGTTTAAGACGTTTACCATTAATTTATTTTTGGCTATACCACGCTTCTCTTAAGTGTCATTCAGTCTTACGCCCCCTTACTATTTTATGTCTTGATTTGCGCTGAATTAATCCTATATTTATGATTAATGCTTCATGTTTTTGTTTTGTTTGTTTGTTTGTTTTATTTTGTTTTGTTTGGCGATTATAAAATGATAGGGCGGCGCCATGAGCAGTGGCACCTCAGGAAATTTTCGAATTCCCATGGCTTCATCAGCCCTTTTCATAGAATTTGGAAGTTGTTTTAATTCACAACCGTCCGTGATTAATTTATACTTAACGTAAAATATGTAACATAATACAATAAAAAAATCTGATGTGTACACCACATGACTTACTTGTACGGAATATTAAATTATACGCATTTTTTTCCGGCATTTTATTTAAACTTATTAGATTGAATTAAACCTACTTCGCCGACAGCGCATAAACCACAATAGAATAAATGCATTCTTTAAAATTCACTTTGTTTACCATAGCGACACTCAGGCGCTAGGTTTACTTAACAGTATTATATTTCGTTCATATTATAACTCAGAATGCACAAAATGTATCTCATTTAAAGAATTATCTAAGCTTTGCCACATGTTCTATTCCAAAACTATAATAAAGCTAGAACTATGTATAAAAGAAATTAAGCAAACAAACAAAAAAAAACATTTTTCACAGACGATTGAGTATTTCTCATTAATTGATTCAGGTTCTTACCTCGCGAGAAGGCACAGATACATAAAAACTCAAAATATCTATATTAAAATTACGAAGTAAATCTCAAACGCTTATTTCCTCGAAAAATTCCAGAAAGAATTAAGCTTGATTTAATTGGCAATAATAAATGAAGGCGTTATCTTTGTTGTTGCAAGCAAAGTTTTCTAGATTGGCAACAAATCCACTATTCTGTTGTTTCAAGTAAAACAGCAATGGCCGCCATTAAAAACATTATAGGCTTAGCGGCACTTAAACACTTAAAATTGTTGATAATTCTAAAAATATGCATACAGATTTACTAAAGGCATAAAAACCTTACGGAAGATAAGAACACATTATTCAATCATTTTTAAAGCAAAAAGTACAATTTACAAACATATAACAGTAAAGAACTGAGATCACGGAGCCGGGTAACAGAGTGGATAAATATATAATATATTTATATACGTTTGGTGTGGCCGATTGCAACCACAATACGAGGTGCACAGCTACATGTTATAGCAGTCCTATATACAAATTTCAACGTTCTGAGGCTACTCGTTTTGAGTTATGCGAGATACTACGTACGCACGTACGTACACGTTCGTACAGACGCCAACGAAAAATTCTCTTCAGAATTCATTTTTAAAAGCAGTTTTATAATTTTTTTGGAGAAAAGAGTGTTTTAATTCTTGTTCTTACGTACATATATCACGGAAATACATCGTTAAATTGCATTTGAAAGAGATCAAAATGGGATATTTTCGTTGAAATATGCTGCCTGAAACTTTTCGCGATTACAATACTTCCTTTTTACGTCGTACAAGGAAGTAAAAACAACAACAAAAATTCCTTATCGATAAAACTTCAGTCGATATTTTTACAAGCTTATTCCAATGGTGTCCAAAATCCATAGTAAATATTGTTCTTTGGTGGAATTTATAAATCAGTTTTTTTTCCATGTCTGATTATATTTAGTATTTAATTATTCACATTATATAGTTTTTATTTTGAATACTGATTTAATTTACTCGAACGAATAAACTTATTTTACAGATGAAATTGCTTTAAATGTAGGTAAATTGTTAACAGCATATTTATATTAATTACCATTT